CCGTTTGGGGCTCCGGAGAGGGGAATCCGTCGCCATCGTCATCATCAACCATCCTCCATCACCAATTTCATGATGCTCACCGCCATGCGTGAGTAATTCCATCGTAGGCTTGCTAGACGGTGATGGGTTGGATGAGATTTATCATGTAGTTGAGTTAGTTTTGTTAGGGTTTGATCCCTAGTATCTATTATGTTCTGAGATTGATGTTGCTATGACTTTGCTATGCTTAATGCTTGTCACTAGGGCCCAAGTGCCATGATTTCAGATCTGAACCTATTATGTTTTCATGAATATATGTGAGTTCTTGATCCTATCTTGCAAGTATATAGTCACCTACTATGTGTTATGATCCGGCAACACCGAAGTAACAATAATCGGGACCACTTCCGGTGATGACCGTAGTTTGAGGAGTTCATGTATTCACCATGTGTTAATGCTTTGGTCCGGTACTCTATTAAAAGGGGCCTTAATATCCCTTAGTTTCCGCTAGGACCCCGCTGCCACGGGAGGGTAGGACAAAAGATGTCATGCAAGTTCTTTTCCATAAGCATGTATGACTATATTCGGAATACATGCCTACATTACATTGATGAATTGGAGTTGGTTCTGTGTCAGCCTAGGTTATGACTGTTACATGATGAACCGCGTCCGGCATAATTCTCCATCACTGATCCATTGCCTACGAGCTTTCCATATATTGTGCTTCGCTTATTTACTTTTCCGTTGCTATTGTTATTATCACTACAAAACACCAAAAATATTACTTTTGCTATCGTTACATTTTGCTACCGTTACCATTACTATCATATTACTTTGCTACTAAACACTTTGCTGCAGATACTAAGTTTCCAGGTGTGGTTGAATTGACAACTCAGCTGCTAATACTTGAGAATATTCTTTGGCTCCCCTTGTGTGGAATCAATAAATTTGGGTTGAATACTCTACCCTCGAAAATTGTTGCGATCCCCTATACTTGTGGGTTATTAAGAATGAAGTCTTTAATCCACACTGCGGGGTTCGTGGTTCCATCGTATGATTATATATTCACGGGTTTGAACCCTTCTGGGAATTCATGATCCATGACCTCATCAGTGAAGCAATGAGGTTGTGCGGCGCCTCTGTATCGGGCCATATCACGACGTAGCTCTAATGGAGTCCGTCTGCGGTTTTTAGCCCGCGCATGACTAAGTTTGTCATGTCCGAATAGGTGGTCGTCGTCGTGTGTCAAGGCACGTCCTCGAGATCCGTAGATTGATCTAGTATGTCCTGCTTTATTGTTCAGGTTTTGCCGGAGGTCATATGTATGGCCGTGGGCTAATTTACCCCCACTTGTGCGATGAGGCGGGGCGGGCTGGTGTTCGGCGTGAGTTGCCATTTTGTCCCGACCACGTGGTGGTCGGTCAGCCGCATTGTACGATGGTGGTATGTATTCCGGCACCTCCTCGTCAAACTGAGGTAGCAATTTGCGCTTTGGTAACTTTTGGTTGGGCGCTTGAGGCCGTATTCTTCGGCTGCTAGGACATCGATCCATTTATCATTGAGCAGATCTTGATCAACTTGAAGCTGCTGCTTCTTCTTTTTCAGGCTCCTTGTAGTGGCTATTAGCTGGCGCTTGAAGCGCTCCTGCTCAAGAGGTTCCTCAGGAACTATGAAATCGTCGGTGCCGAGGCTCACCTCATCCTCGGAGAGCGGAAGATAACTCCCGTCCTCTGAGTCTTCGTTCGTGGCCTATTTACCAAGGCTAACCTGCCCATATTCTCGTTCATCTTGTTCATTAGCTGTTTCAACGGGGTCTTTATTGTCTTCGGCACCTTCTGGAGTGTTATCTTCTTCTGTGCCGGTGTTGCTGTCTTTACTGCAGCGTGACTTAGAGCGGCGCCGCTGACGCCGGCGCTTGGATTGTATTTCGGAAGGTTTATCCTCAGCTGGATCTTCCTTGTCATCGTCGTTGTTCTCCTTTGGTGCATCCACCATGTATACATCATACGAGGAAGTGGTCGTCCAGCGTCCGGTGAACGGCGGGTTCTGGGCCTCTTCTTCTACGGCATCGTCGCCCATACCGTCGATGTCCTCGGAGTCGTAATCAAGTGTGTCGGTTAAATCCTCGACCGTGTCTATGAAGTGGGTGGCGGGTGGCGAGCAAAATTCTCCATCGTCATCCCCTAGTTTGAACCGGATATAGTTCGGTTGTGAGTCCTCCGCCAAGGACAGGTTTTTTTAATGAGTTTAGCATGTCGCCCAAAGGTGAGTGCTGGAAGATGTCTGCGGCGCTCAATTCAAAGATCGATGAACGATCAAGTTTGGCGTCCCGCGGGCTCACATGGTTCGGAACTTATGGCCGGAAACGAGTCCGGAGTTCCGGTGGCACATGTATCGTGTGAGATCAAGTCTATGTGCGGCTCCAACACTGTGGAATCTATGGCCTCTGTGGTGGGGTCAATCATCCCGTCCTTGGATGGCGCAGTCTGCTCTGGATCTAGGACTAGAGCGGTTATGGGAGCTGTCTCCTGGATGCAATCCGATGACAGATTTAGGTCATGTCCCTCGGGGTGACCAGGAGTGGTAGCCGCGGTCTCGAGTCCGGCGAAGATCAAGTCTCCACGTATGTCCGCAACGTAGTTCAAACTCCCGAATCTGACCTGATGGCCAGGGGCGTAGCTTTCGATCTACTTCAGATGGCCAAACGAATTGGCCCGCAGTGCGAAGCCGTCGAACACAAAGATTTGTCCAGGGAGAAAAGTTTCTCCTTGGACAGCGTCATTATTGACGATTGAAGGGGCCATCAAACCTTTTTGGCGATAGCACAGTGGAACTCTTAATGAAAGCACCAATGTCGGTGTCAAAACCGGTGGATTTCGGGTAGGGGGTTCCGAACTGTGCGTCTAAGGTCAATGATAACAGGAGACAGGGGACACAATGCTTTACCCAGATTCGAGCCCTCTCTATGGAGGTAATACCCTATGTCCTGCTTGATTGATCTTGATGAATATGAGTATTACAAGAGTTGATCTACCACGAGATCGTAATGGCTAAACCCTAGAGGTCTAGCTTGTATGGCTATGATAATGTATGTCCTCCGGACTAAGTCCTTCGGTTTATATAGACACCAGGAGGATCTAGGGTTACACAAGGTCAGTTACAAAGAAATGATCTACATATTTAGTCGCCAAGCTTGCCTTCCACGCCAAGGAGAGTCCCATCCGGACACGGGTGTAGTCTTCGGTCTTCGTATTTTCACAGCCCATTAGTCCGGCCCATGGCTAACAGGCCGGACGCCCGAGTACCCATTAGTTCAGGACTCCCTCAGTCGGTGCCGGGCGCCGAGTGGACGGACGCTTAGGAGGGCTCGGACTCATCCTCCTTCTGCTCGACCTCATCCATGTAGGGGAGCATCTCTGCCTCCTCCACAGCCTGCTGCGCCTCCATTTCCTGTCGGCGACTGCGTCTGGCCTTTGCAGCCGACTCTGAGCGGAGGGAATCGAGGATGGTCTACTTCTCCGCCTATGGATCCGCGTCGCCAGCGTCCCCACATCCTCCTCCTCCGGCTCATCCTCCTCCGGGTCCACTACATACGGAGGTAGCCCGCAGCGATCCGCTCTTCGCGCCTTATTCGGATCTGCTCAAGGAGCTCCAGTCGGCGCTCCGGTGTTAGAAATGGGTAGCTCCTCACCCGGCAGCGGGAGGGGGGCATGGCTACTAGATGGATGGGGAATGAAAAGTGGCGGCATCGGCGGATAGGTGAAGGAAAATGTGGAGGATAGGATTTCGGTGCCGACGGTCGACTTTTTTTGAATTTCGGTGCCGACGGTCGACTTAAATAAGCAGAATAGGCACTACGCGGCCCGCCAAGCGGCGATATCGATCTAACAGATGAGACGAGTTTTGGACTGTTGAGTTTTCAAACGATTCCGCGTGGGACCCCTTCGTTAGTCGTACGTAGTGGGCACGCTCTGGCGCTCTATATCCGCTCCATACTTAAGCTGGATATAAGGGATGCTGGTCAATCCGGACGTTTGAGACCCATTTCAGACGCGTGGCTAAGTCGAAATTCGATGACGGTCAGTGACCGGGCGACCCGTGACCAGTCAACGATGCCGGCCCGGACGTTTTAGGCGAAGGGTTTAGGGTGCCGGTTGTAGATGTTCTAACACCAAAATCGGCCTCCGACGCCATCAAACGGTGTAGCCCGTCTCAAAAGCTAGACTAGATAGACTATGAGACAGGCTGACACTCCTCGGCGGTCCGTCAGCAGGAAGCACGCCGCGACCAGTGCCTGCCCCCGCCGAGCAGATTAGAACAGAACGCATTGCATGCTCCACGCGCCACGGCCCACGCGTCCAGCATGCGCAAGCACGCGCGGCTCCTTCGCCCATGCGGCGGCCACGCCGTACGCGACCAAACCAAAGGACGTGCGCCGCGCGCCGCGCGACGCGAGCGACACCGGGCCATGCGGACCTGGCGCCACCCCCAGATCGCGTCGCGCCACCAGTGCGCCGTGCGCGTCGCCGGGGCGAAAGCGACGGGAAACGGAAGGCGATAAACTAACCGCTCCTCTCGTCTCGCAGTTCCCGTCCGTCTCATTTCCTCCGCTCTTCAGGATTCCAATCCAAGGAATTATGAATAAACTACTACTCCTTTCGTTCCGAATTACTTGTTTTAGATTTGTCTAGATACGATCGTATCTAGACAAATCTAAGACAAGTAATTCGGAACGGAGAGAGTAGTACTGTACTAACAAAAAAAGAACGGATCAGACTAGAGAGCGCACACATGCAAGCACACAAGAAACTAGTTACGGATACATATATACTACTGTATTGAACAGGAGTAGTAGGAGGAACTTCGACTTTAGAACACAAGCATGCAGTTTGTGCAGGCAGGTTATACAATGGCAGAGAAACAACGATATTAATATCTAGAAATTCAGAATAAACAGATTATTCAGACTCTGTACACTTAAGTTGGCGGCAAAGCAAGCTAGTTGAGGAATGGCGAGCCTGTCATGGTTTTGAGCCCGAGGGGGCGGTCGTCGCTGCGGCTGCGAGCGGCAGACGCGCGTTCTGGGCGCCCTCCTCCTTCCGGCGGCTCCAGTCGCGCACCGCCAGGTGCAGCTGCTTGGCTGCCATCAGCATCTCCACCGCCTGCCGCGGCTTCAGGATCTCCGTGGCCAGCGCCCTGGCCGTCGACATGCGCAGCTCGTCCGCCTCCTCCAGGAGCCTGGCCAGCCCGGCCGAGTAGCTCTCCATCGCCGCGTCCACCTCGGCGGCGAATCCTCCTGACGATTCTGCTGCCACGGGCCGTCCGGGAATGTCGTCGCGCTTAGCGCTCCGGTCCTGGCCGGCTAATGCTGCTGCCGCCGCCGCGGCGCGCTCCCGAACGATCGGAAGCAGCGGCCGGTCGGCGATGTTCTCCTGCAGACTCGCCAGACGCTCCGTCAGGTAACCCTCGTCGCGCAGCGTGCAGCGGTGGAGGTCGTTGATCTGCTGCAGCTGCGTGGCCGTGATCCCGACGAGGCCCATACCCTCCGCGAGGCCGCGCCCGCGGCCTCTGACGAACTCCTCGATGTCCTCCTCCAAGCCCTCGCCGGAGATTGAGTAGAGAAGCCGGATGGCCAGAGACGGGCGGCAGCCCCCGAGCCAGAGCACGGAGTTCTCAAACGCCGTGCACCAGGGCGGGGTGACGAAGGCCGCGCCGTTCTCGCGCGCCAAGGCACGCCGGCTGGCGGCGTACTCCTGGTACCCGCGCATGCACCTTTCAACCACGGCCCTCAGCTCTGCGTCCGTGGCGCGCCCGGCGGCGGCATTGGCTGCCGCCTCCGCGAGCTCGCGGAGGCCCGCCTGCTGGCCCGCGATCCACTGCTGGTGGAACGCGACGTAGCGTGCCATGTCCATGGCGATCTGGTCTCTCGCGCGCGACAGGGAGTGACGGGACTGACTTGTGAGTAAGCAAGACTGGCCTACGCCAGTGTGACTCCTCCTATGTACACGCCCTGCTCCTCGGAGCAGTTTTGTCTTCTCCTATGCTCTGAATCTCTAGATTCTTCTAGTATGGTTCTTGTGGTTTGTTTATGTCTTGTACTCCCTCCTTCCAAATTACTCGTTTTGGTTTTAGTTCAAATGGAGAGAATAGTATCAAAAAACGTTCTACATTTCAGGACGGAGGTGAATCAGGTGTGGTGATGGCTCTCTCTGCATGTCTAGTCAACAATACGTACATATCTAGATGTAATTTGAACTGTATTTGAACCATACTGCCAAGTTATAGAACCAGTTCGGTGTATTTTTTAAATTCAGACATCAAAGTGAACATAGATGGTGAGTTGAAGCAGCACTAGTATTATTACCTCATTTTATTTTCTTCAAAATTGACGCATTGGTTGCTCCCATCGAGTACATGGAAGGCCGGCCATATTGCATGGTTGTGAAGTGCAAGCCAACCACGTAAAGGCCTCACACATAGGCAAATTGAGGTGGGCTAATTCGTTACCTGGCTAAATAAATACTCCCTCTGTCTCAAAATATAAGAACGTTTTTAACACTACACTAGTATAAAAAAATATTCTTATATTATAAGACGAAGGGAGTATATGCTAGTGAAATTTTTGTAAAAACATGTTTTCTAAAAAGTAATGGATTAGTGGCATGAGAATTATTTGTGACTGGGCAGATATGTATTGTGCCCGGCAAAAACATATTTGCAAGGAGTTTGCCAAAGGCTTTCTCATTCGAAAAAAAACAATTTCAAGTATATTTCCCTTCTTCATTCTATGCTCGGATGATTGCCGCTTGTCTGAATTTCATTGTTGTGGGTCCCGTGTGTGTTCGAATAAGATTGTTTTAGGAAAATAAAATTAAAACAAAAACAAAAATAAACATTGAAATAAAATCTAAAACAAAATAAAAAATATTAAATTTTCTGTGGAAGAATGAATTTGTGACAAAAAGAATGAAACAAAATTACCCTTTCGAAAGAAAGAAAATAAAAAGTTAAAATAATTAAAACAATGAAACCCTTTAAGAAGAAAGAAAAAGCTTTAAAAACTTGCACACAACGGTGCACTGAAATTGCATTGGCATTGGTATTACCATTTTTAAAAGAAAAGAAAATGAAAAACAAAATCTAATCTAATCTAAGAGTAACAAAATTTGCACAAAATATAAATAAAAATTGCGCTTCCGAAAAATATGCAAGAATAAACACATAAAAGTGATTTTTTTGCAAAACAAAAAACTAAGAACGAATGAATTGGTGACATTGGTATTACCCTTAAAGTATAATGAAAATGGAATAAAACTAAAATAATATCAAAATAATGAAGTTTTCTAAAATATAATGAATTACGGGTGTTTGTATTTCCTTTAAGAAGAAAAAAAACTAGCACAACTTGCACTGAAATTGCACTTTTTGTAAGGAAAATGTTTGAAAACAGCGCACCGGCCGCGCTGCGTTGGATACCAACAGATCATGCGGTTGTGCGTTATCCCGAAAGGGGTCAAACCTTATCACTTCGCACATGAACCTCCACCACTCGTTCCCTCGTTCGTATTCTCCCCTCCACGCCATCGTCTTCTCCATAGAGCACACATGAGCCTGATTCCTCTTAGCTGGCGTGCACCAAGTCACTGCAGGCGTCGAAGACGAAGAGGGATATCACCAGGGGTCAGACGCCGGCGCTGGAGACAACACATTGGACCACTGCGATGGGGACGCCATTTTATTGCTGGAACGACCACCGGCGGAGCTGCAACCATGCGCCCGAAATGCTAGCACCAGTCGTCAGAAGAGCTACAACCAAGGGCACCAGCAATGTTGGAACCGGCCATCGCCAGAGCTGCAACCGACCGCGACAGAGCTGCAAACGGCTGTCAAAAATGCTGGAAGCAGCCACTAGAATTGATGGAACTAGCACCAAAAGAGCTACAAAACCCAGCGCCGGCATGATGGAACCTGCTGTCGTCAAAGCTACAACCGGCCGCCAAAATTGCTAGAAACGACCATCGGCCGAGCTGCAACTGGGGAGCAGTATGGCATGACAGGCGGTAGATTTGCTGGAACCTGTCATCATAAAATCTGCAATCGTAGGACGTGGTGCTGTAACCGTGTGCAGTGGTGCAACCAGCGGCAATGGCAGAGATGCAATGGTGCACGGTGGCTCGACAAGTTTTTTGGCTACGACCGGTGGGCCGGTGGTCGGGGATGCTACCATCGGCTACTGGTTTTGCTACAACCGAGCAAAACAAGGTTGCAACGGGCGATCATGGGAGCTGCATGCTAGCGGCGACGACCGACTTCAAACCGCAACCGACGGCGACAAGAGTCGATGCACAGAGATGGGCGAAGTTGCAACGATGGATGACATAATTGCAATCGTTGTAGTCAGTGCTTCGATTGTGGGAGACGAAGCTGCAAGCAGCGGCCGGTTCTTGTCATCAGTTTCATGTAGCATCATCACAACATCACTGTGGGAAGGAGTGGGAGGGAGGAGAGCACCGAACACTGGGCCGTGAGGATCAAACGACCAGTCACCGAGAGGAGGGGCGGTGGAGGAGTGGGGGAAAACAGGAAGGAGAGATGTGAAGTCAAAGGAGAGGAAGATGATGTACCTACAGGGGTGAGATCCAACGGTAAATGATGTAGGCAATCGTGCGGCTGCGGGCCGGCTGGCCCAAATTTGTGCCGGCGGGCTGACGCCTAGTAGTCCTTTTTTGTAATATATAAAGAATAATCATATAATTGTAAATTTTTGGCACATATTATATAGTATTTGTATGTATATTTACACTCATCCAACATCCTAAAAATACCCACAAAACAAAACAAATAACTAATAAAGAAAAGGAAAGTAAAAGTAAAACATAAAAACATAAAACAAAGGAGAAAGAATAAGGCTATTTCGAACTAGAATGGGCTTCAGGGCATTAAAGAATTGATTGGCTCGAATATGGGGTAAGTGAGAAAAAGCCCAAGACAACACACAGACTAACCTAGAAAGAAAAAGGTACACAAATCTTAAAGAAGAATTCAATGGCCCAAAAAATTGACTGGCCCAAAATTAATTTCTAGGCAACTGAAATATAGTACCTAAAGTGGGAAAGTGTTTTTAGTCGGTGCGGACTTTCATAGGTTTGTGGCTCACAGCTGGCTTGCATCGTCATCCACGCATGGATTTTTGGTGTCTTGTTTATCTGATGTCAAGTTTTTGTTTTGTTTAAAAAAAACGAGTATGTGGTTTAATTTCTTCGGTGTGCATGAAAACTTGTTGTCTGGTCCTACGTGCTTGACATTCTGAATTACCGAGAGCGCAAGATCGCCTCAATTAAAATTACGTAGAAATATGGAGTATTGTTGATGTCGTATAATGCAGGGAGACCGACACATAGTTTTTGAAGCTGTGCAAAAATGTGTGACTACTCTTAACTACTATTTGAATTGTGTTGGCTCATAAATTACATAAAAATAATCAAATTCTTTCTTCAAAGTATCTAAATTAGGTTCAACTTTATTGTTTTGATTGTTCTCCATCCAGTGGATATTTTTCATATTGACCTACATATCTAGCATGCACGAGGAACATTCAAATTGGTTTTTCTTTTCATGAATGTTTATGAAATATTGACTGAAAAATTGATGTTTGAATGCACCCTTTAAAAATGTACTTTTGAATGTTACTTGAGAATAATGTTTGGTTCGCCCAAAAAAACTGTGCAAATTGTTGCGAGTCATTTCATATCATCTCAACCAATTCAGACCATCGTACTTATTCCCCACAAAAAAGATCATTATACTCATTTACCTTGCCATATGAGATGGTTGTGCGAGATCGGACCAAGAAATGGGATATAGTGGCTACAATGCAAGGTGCTTCCAGATGAGTGTTTAAATACAGAATACAGTGTCTCCATCACAAGTTTGTAATGTCGCCTAAACATCATTAAGAAAAGTATTGTTTGCCATGTCTTGTTCCTTTTATATCATCTCAATTGACAATATTTCAATCAATGCACTCATTTTACGCTCTTGTGAGATGATTGTACCAAACTGGAGCAAAAAATGGACATGTTGTGTACAATACAAGATGCTTCTAGATAAGCCTTTAAAGAAAGAAATCAGTTACTTCCACCAAAAGTTTGTAACGTTTGCATAAACATCAGTATGAAAAAGTGTCGGTATCCCTTTTATTTTCATTTATCATCTCAACCATTGACACTCCAAGCAATGTACTCATTTAACCCTCCGTATGAGATGGTTGTGCCACATCAGACCAAGAAATTGGATATGCATGTATAATGCAGGAAGCTTCTAGATGGGCGTTTAAAGAGATGAACATTTATTTCCACTAAAAAGTTGTAACGTTTCACTAAAAAAACATTATCATCATTGTCGTTAATGATGGGAGTTACAACTATTGATGTTGTGTGCATAAACCCTATTGGATGGTGGTGGCGTAATTTCAGTCCTATGCAAACAGATGAGAAATGAAGAAGGTATGTCTCCCATAGAGAGAGTTTCAGTGAGGTGCGAACTTTCATGTGTATGTGGTCATCTATGTGTGCCTTTCTGTTTGGCATTTTATCTGACTCTGCTGTCAATTTATGTTTTGTTTCCCATTTTTTCGGGGAGTATATGGAAACTTGTGGTGTGATACTATGTGCTTGATATTCTGGATGAAAGTAATTGCAAGATCAGCAATAGATTACCATGGAGAACACCTCAGTTACAATCCCGACAAAATCAGGGATACTGCAGACGCAATATGATGAAGGGAGACAAACACGTTTGGAAGCAGTTCAATTACTTGCAAATAAACACATATTGATGTTTTCTGCAATTTGTTACCACTCTTAACCGCTCTTTAAATAGATCGTGCTTATAAGTTATACCAAAAAATCAA